TTAAAAAAAAAAAAAAACAACAAAGATGAGGGGCTGGGGGTATAATGGAGTGGTAAAGCACCCCTAGGCTAAATTCTCAGTATTAAAAATAAAAAGGGCTGGAGATGTACCCAGTACCAACACACACACATACATACATACAATTAAGAATAGAACTATGAGCCGGCATATGCCTGTAATCCTAGTGGCTCAGGAGGCTGAGGTAGAAGGATCTTGAGTTCAAAGCCAGCTCAGCAACAAGAAGATGCTAAGCAACTCACTGAGACCCTGCCTCTAAATAAAATACAAAATAGGTCTGGGGGTGCTTCAGTTTAACCCCAAGTACCCGCCCCCCCCAAAAAAAATAGAACTATGATGTAGCAACGCTGCTAGTGGGTATATATATATATAAAGGACTTCCAGAGCTGGGAATATAGCACAGTGGGTAGAGTGCTTGCCTTGCATGCACAAGGCCCTGAGTTCAATCCCCAGCTCCACAAAACAATAATAAAAAACCCAGTAGGATTCACAATTGTCAAGAAATGCAAACAATATAAATGTCTATCAGTGGATGAGTGGATAAGAAAAATGTGATACACATATACACACAATGGAGTTATCACACAATGGAGTTATCCATAAATGAATGAGATTACACACAATGCAGTTAGCCATAAATGAATGAGATTAGATACAATGGAGGTAGCCATAAATGAATGAGATTTCATACAATGGAGTTAGCCATAAATGAATGAGATTACATAAAATGGAGTTAGCCAAAAATGAGTGAGATTACATACAATGGAGTTAGCCACAAAATGGATGCGATTCTTTTTTTAGGACAAAATGAATAGAACTGGAGATTATTATGTTAAAGTGGGATTAGCCAGGCTCAGAAAGAGGTACCTTATGATCTCATTCAAATGGAATCTAAAACAGTTGATATCACCCGCTGGGAATTATGGAGCTCAGTTGGTAGTGTACTTGCCTTCCACACACAAAGCCCTGGGTTCCCGCCCCAGCACCAAAAGAAAAAAAAAAGTTGCTATCAAGCTGGCTGGGGGTACAGCTCTGTGGTAGAGAACTTGCTTAGCATGTGTGGCCCTGGGTTCCATCCTGAAAACCACAAACGAAAAGTCAATCTCACATAAGTTGAAAGAAGAATGATAAGTACCAGAGGTTGGGAGAGTAGTTGGGAAGGAGGAATGGGGAAAGGATGACTAACAGGTACTAAGTTACAGTTAGATGGGAAAAAGAAGTGAAGTTCTGTTTTTTTGTTTTTTTGTTTGGTTGGTTGGTTTTTTGTTGTTGTTGTACTGGGATTGAACCCAAGATGCTTTACTATTGGGCCACATCCCCAGCCCTTTTAATGTTTTATTTTGAGACAGGATCTCACTAAATTGCTTAGAGCCTAAGTTGCTCAGGCTTGTTTTGAACTTG